CCACAACGTGTTGTGAGCTATTTTTCCGCTAACTGAGCGTTTCCGATCTTTGAGCGTAACATATATAACCAAACACAAATTAAACAAATAAGCAATCTAGTCATTTAGCGACCTAGACATCATAATATGTACCTAGTAAAATAAAGATGTAGTCATTTTACGATCTAGTCATTATTTCACGTGGTCAAATAAAGATCTAATCATTTTGTGATCTCATGCATTATGCGATGCTAGACGCAATTATTTGTAGTCATTTATTTAGCAATATAGTCATTAATAGCTAACCCCTATTCACACTGCGAATAGACAATTTAAGATCAACCCGTTTTTTGTATATTGTGAGGCGCAGGCTTCGTTGTCTACGGTCATGGAGCACCCCCACTAGAGTCCGCATCACACAAATTTTGTTTGGAATCAAAATCGCCAAAGTCGGTGGGGTGCAGGGAGGTCAGCCCCGCTGTGATTGGACGCATCAAGGTCAGATCATATACTCAGTGCAGCGAAGTGATGAGGGTAAGATCGATTTTAGAAAATATCGATATTTTATATCGATAAACAATTTGGAATAAAGGCCTAGTACTTTGGTGCGCGAGTGTAAGCAAATGCGTAATCATACCCTCTCCGCTTTCTTCCAGCGTTCTAATTACATGACGCGACTAGTAACTACATACTAAATTATATATAAGCAACACAAAAAAAAACCACGCCCAGGGCAAGAAGTATTAATGCAACGATATTAACTAAATATACAACAACACGAACAAAATCGTGGCCGAAACGTGTCCAAAAGGTACATTGGACGATCCACGGAGGTCCGTAAGATGATCGCGTGGTCAAAAACAATATAATGCCTTATTTAAACATTGAAAGTCACCTTTAATGCATACGGCATAAGGTCTTAATTAAAATGCATGCGTCAAGTTCGTAAAATTTTACGATTTATTGTTATGTGTGAAAGAATATAGACCTTATTTTTGAAGTTATACTTCTTTAGGCGCGTTATGAAAAAATTATGAGAGTGAAATTTTAAGATGCGCGCGCATCACTGTAACACAAAAATTAACAGCATGAAGTTGGTCGCTTTAGGTCGACCAACTTCATGCTGTTACTTTTGTGTTTACCGCACATTAAGAAAGTCTACCAACAAAATAGAAATAGAATCTCTATTTAGTGGGTGCTAACGACTGCATTGTGAAGGCCTATCAAAAGTATTTATTAATCTGGAACAACGGAACCAAAGCGCGATTCAGGAGACTACAGCGCCATCTCTTGACCATTGGTGTAGTAGAACCAAAAACCACATCTTTATTTTTTGTAATAAAGTAACAGTTATAGGTATTCATATTTATAATATCAAAAGTATTTATTAATCTGGAACAACGGAACCAAAGCGCGATTCAGGAGACTACAGCGCCATCTCTTGACCATTGGTGTAGTAGAACCAAAAACCTCATCTTTATTTTTTGTAATAAAGTAACAGTTATAGGTATTCATATTTATAATATTTATCCACATGTTTCTAGTTTGTATATTCGGAATACGTGTTTGAGTTTCATACAAGTGCAAATCACATATGTTCTAATAAATTATATTCAGTAGCGATTTTAATTGAATATTTTGATTATTTATTTATTTTTTCAAATTAAAACTGAACTTTATTGAGTGTGTCCTTTTCCAGATTTTTTATTAATTTATTGTAATTAATTATTTGCATGCAATTAAAAACTAATTTTAAACGATGCCAAAGAAAGATAACTTCTCACGCGCCTACATAAGTACACGCACCCATTTTTTTTTGACTTTTCGCGCGCAATAGGCTTGTGTCAACTAACAATAAATCGAATGGGTTACAGTTTCTAAATATGAATTATGATATACAGATAACAAAAAATAAAGCTATTTATCATAATAATTAAAGATTATTATTATTTTTAGAAAATAAATTCGAATAAAATAGGCATTAGATCACGTGACGGCAAACACCAATCAGAAAGACTGACGTCACCACGTGCAAAACATTACTTGTGGTTGCCGTTTCCATACATTTCATTGATATCTCATTCATGTTATTGTTACTTTGATACAATTTATCAGTTTGTTTTCAGATAAGTATTGAAAGGAAGCCTAATAAATCCATGGAATTGGGATTTACCGAAGCAAATAATAATATTTTAACCAAAATAAAAAATTAATCGCATAACTACTCGACATAAATAAGCATATCATTTGGCAACTAGAACAAGAATAAGATGTGTTTATTATTATGAATAAATATACTGAACTCTCAAATAGACTCTAAATCATATCATAAAATTAAATCAACTTACCTAACCTCAACCTATTGTCATTGTTTTATCAATATAATGCAATATAATTTATCCGGCTTGTATAACATTTTGATTTCATTGATTATGTTATGCAAAATACTTACATCAAAATGTTCATCACAAAATTATTCTTGTATTTGTTGATAAACAATGAATAGGTACCATCCCTCCTTGCAAGTTCTAACCATTTTTTCCGCATTTGTGGCATATAAATAATTTGTCTGGCGTTTTATGCTTCTCCTTTTATACTAGGACACTATACAGTACTTGTAATACGATGGATTCTTTTTAACTAAATAATTTTAATAGTCGGCGTACAGCGTATTGTTTGCTTTGCACGGCGTGACGTCATTCTAGACGCCATGACAGTCTAGAGCGTTTTCGAGGGAAATTTGAATAAATTTTTTAAAATACAAAATACATATTGCTATTGTACTTTTTTATATAAAATAATATTTTTTTGGGGTTAAATAAACATCAAGGTATATTATTAACCACTTTTTAAAATATAGGCAACTAGCCTATTCTGAATGCGCTGTTAGCAATATAGCAGGTACAGATCGCGAAGAAAAGAGATGGCTAAGGGCGACGTATAACCGACCATGCATTTGAATATCACAAATATTTTATATTAAATCAGTTTATAGTAAGTATTACAACAATAAAATTTGCTTTAAAGGCGTTAATTAAAAAACATTAATTAGCTACCCGTCGCAAAACGACACTTTACGTACTATTAGTATTTTTCTGTATTTTTTCACGGAACTCTTTGGCATCTTGACTTTTCAACGGTCCGCGATTGAGTGGAGTTCAAGTACTTCTTGATGGGGACACATTTTGAGCGCTCGTAGTGTTTCTAGGGTATTTAATATCGTTAATTCTATGTCTTTATCTAGGTCATAAACTATGCGCACTTAATTTCATACAAATCCGTTTAACCGTTTTAGCGTGAAAGAGTAACAAATATGCATACAAATTTTCGCGTTTTTTCAATTTTATTAGGATATGTTTGAAGTCAAATAAAAACTGTTGGTTGTATACTCATGACATCTATTATTGTATACGATGAAATAAATAGTTTTTATTTATTTTTTCAATTTCCATAGCCGACAAACTTATCGATAAACTTACGCGTTGAGACATGAGTTGCGTCTGAGTCACTAGCAATACACGTGCCGGTGTGAAAGCGAGATATCATATATGATGTAGCCCATGCGAGAAAGGGATAGTGTAAAAAGACATCAACGCGTTCAGCAAAACATAAATACAATTAATACCAATTTAATATAACAGTATTTTTGTCTTTTTGTAATGCATTTAAACTAACCAGTGAAAAGTAATACCATTTTTTTGAAGACTGGAAGTTGTACTCGACTTTCCACACAATTTAATTGCACAGTACGGCATTTTTTACAGTTTTTTAACACGAAAACGAGAGAAGCAGTTCGACCAACGCTCGGTTACCGAATGAAACGATGTATCGCGACGTCTGTAGGCGGGCCTCACGCATAGGTAATATACTACTTAAGCTTGGCGTAAGCGTTTGCCCTAGTATGCGGACTCTAGTGGGGGTGCTCCGTGTCTACGGTGTATCCTTAAGAAGTTTGTCGGTTACTTTATATACCGCATGCGCCTATAGGTTACGGAGCCGGCTTACTAATCAGGCGGGCCCTAAATATGTTTATTCAGTAATTAATGGTTGTACTAAGAGAGGTCAACTAATTTTATGTACACGTGTTGTCTCACTATTTTAATAGTAAAGAAAGTGATTGACATAGTAAATCAAGTTATCTTTGGTACGGCCGTTAGAAGCTGATTCGGTTTCATATCTTTTGATGAAAAATTAAGACTTTCTCGACTTCATTAAGCTGTAACTCTTTCGATGTATCTTGTTAATTTATCTGGCAAATTTTTAATGTCGTAAGGACACGACACGATAAAGGGTCACGTGACACTATAATTATCATCACCAGCCTATTAATGTCGCCACTGCTGGGCACAGGTCAAGTAATAGGGAGATTAGGTCATCTACTTACCACGCGGATCCAGTGCGGATTGGTGGATGCTAACGACTGCAGATGCAGCTGCGACCAATGACTAGACGTGCCTTCCGAAGCACAGACGTCCCCGATATAGTAAATTTATGGTCACCCATCCAATGATCGACAACTGCGAGACTGGCTTAACTTCAAGGATCGCAGCCAAACGCGCTAACCACTTGCGCCTTCGAGCTCCCTGAAAATTTCTATTCTATCGAGGCGTAAGAGATAGATCGACCATCCTTCTTGATTGTAGAACATCAATATGTACGGTGAACTTCGCCTTTTGACAATCAATATGTTTTAAACATGATTTAAACATATCTCAAAAGATTTAATTTGAAATGAGATTAATATAAAATAAAGTTAGTAGTTGACGCAAGTGACGCATTTCCTTGTGTTTCTCATTTAATTAGTTTTTTTTGGGATTGTATTACATAGATCTACTTCTTTAAACGCTGGCTTATCGAACTTTACTAATGGGATTTGAAAGAGTTTATATTCTTGAATCTGTGAAATGAGGAAGGTATGAAATAACCACGTTCACGTACGAATTTCGTTTTTTTATGTCTCATTTTGTATTGAACAGAAGTGGGGGTAAATAAGTATAATTACAATTTCTAAATTGTAGTAAGGGACAAGGAAACCACGAATAAAACATATTTTTCATTTTATTTGTAATGTACAAATCCCCGTTTAATTTAAAGGTATCCTTATAAAGGTTTATTTGTATCAAAAACTGTCAAACAATTGTAAGCATACAAAATTAAGTAATTTTTGCCATTTTTACAATATTCACCTAAATTAACTAAGACTAAGAAAAAGTACAAATATTTCTATTTTATTTAATCATCTATATACACAAAGAATACTATTTATAAATTAAATTATTTACAAAGCATTTTACAAATTACAAAGAAAATGGCTGTATACAAATTGTTACATTTATTTGCTGTCAGCAAGATTTCCCCTTCACGCGACGAACACGCAGCGCCGCGCAGCGCTTAGCTCGGAAAACTTAAGAAGAAAATACAAGGTTAAGAGTTTTCGTGTTTTCCACAAAGGCTATAAATCCTAACATTCAGCTGTTTTCCACAGTTTACAGCTCACCCACGATATAGTTTATCACTTGCACTACAATAACACATCCACATTGAATAGTTTACGTAACATTCCCGTGTTACATTTCAATTCCACTATTTTTCACTCTTCACTTATTCGAACGTTCAGTTGAATAGTATTTTCTATTAAAATTTATTTAACCTACATAGGGGAAGGGTGCAAATGGCGCTGGGAAGTATCCCGGGAAGCCTGCACTAGGCTGTATTGGTATTGAGGAAGTGACATAGGACGTGAGTACTGTAGGAACTACTTTAGTAGTAAATAGAGTGGTGTAAACCGTCTTAGCACCAAATGTCAGTTTTAGAATTTGGCTGTCAGTCGCAGTCACTTCTGTGTTCATGACGACAGGTGTCGATGTGACAGTGAATTGTTGTTGAGGATACAGGGGATTGATAGGTTGCAGTGGTAAAGCTGGTAGGCTGCTAGTGCCGATTTCATATTCGGTCTTTGTGATAGTTGCTACTGGTCTAGAAATAGTGCTCTGTATTGTATTTTTGCCATCAAAGACGGGAATCACGTGTGATTCGTATACTGTTTCGTATTTCAGTATTGGTTTGGATGTTGTTACAACATTGGGGATTTGAGCTGCGGCAGCTGGATTCAGGAGTCTTAATAGAGCGAGTTGCTGAGCTTGTTCTGGGGTGAGAGCGGGAGTAGGCGGGGAGGGTGCTTCAGTTACATGGTTATTTTTGTTTTGTCCATGCGCTTTCTTGAGTCTCAAGTGGTTGTCCGGGGCGCCGTATTTATCCACTTCGGCTAAATCAAATTCAGAGCCAATGTTGGCCAAATCCAAATCTGGTGGGAATACTCGTCGTGGAACACCGTCTTCGTCTTCGTTGCTATCACCGAAATCTAATTCCAAATGTAGTTCGGATCCGGCTTCATCAAGACGGCTGTTGAATTCTTTTAATGTCTTGCTTGGTATGAATTGGAAGAAGTCCATTGGTGGTAATGTTTTAGTGGCAGTTACAAATCTTGTTACATGATAAGTCTGTATAAAAGTTAGGCTGCTAGTTATGTTAGCGTCCCTTACAACTGGTAATATGTGAGTTTTTAACATATTTTGTGTAGTACTGAAAGTTTCCGTAACAGTTTCTAATGGTGGAGTTTCCATGTCAGACGATAAGGTTATTGCTGGTAGTGTTGCGATACTTGAATCCAAATTGTGATCTTTTCCGTAAGGAGAAGCTGTCGCTAATATATTTTCTGTCAACGGCTCGTTGAGAGAACTTTGCGAGTTAGGTATTATTGTTGGTTCAATGCGTTTTTCTATTGTAGACGTCACTGTGATGATACGAGTATTTTTGACACGTCCCACCTGCAAATTAATAATTTATTATAGTTGAAAAACAAATAAATTGATTCTGGACATCTACAGTATTACCACAAAAAAGTCAGTTGGGCGTTCAGTACAACTTTGACAATAAAAGTAATAACTTGCTTTAACGTGGTTTAAAGCAGAATCTAATTTTTTTGTAGTACTACCTCTAATATTTTCATACTTACCTGGAAAGTGTAAGGAGATCTGATCGTAGCTATCTCATAATAAACATCTCGAAAATCGGCAGGAGTGGATATTTCAACTTTTATAGTTTCAACGGGCGGAGGTTTCTCTATCGAGTTATCATCCGTATCGCTTTCAAGAAGTGTCCCCAGTCCACTCTGAGAGCCTTGGAGTTCGAGGTCGTTATCTGATCTCGCTTGAGGAGAAAGGTCATTCGCTTGAAGATCGTCGATGAAAGGATTAGGAATTGGTGTAGTTTGTTCGTCGTCGCCTCCATTCATTTTTCTTATAGTTACTTTAGGTTTGGGACTTGTTTTATATTGCCAACGCCCTGATCCTGGTGAGCGGTTCAGTTTAAACTTATATATACTAGTCGATGCAGCTGGTGTTACTTGTTCAACTGGTGTAGCTTGAACACGTGGTTTAAAACCTCGTTTTGTTTGGCTTTCATTACTAGATTGGGCGACAGCAGTCTTTTGGGCAGAGTTACGGTTATTTTTTCTTCTATTGGTGAATGAAGATGATGTTTCACTGAAAACAGAGACGGTTGCTAGTTGAGGGGCGTTTGCAGGTCGGCCATAACGAGTACTGAAAATAAAAATAACTATTGTCGACAAACCGAACTTTGCTATTGTTGATTAATATTAACTACATACAAACTACAATGAAAATATTAGTTTATGGAAGCATTAGATGGTTAGGTTGTCGGCAATAATAAATGAAGATTTTATGAAACTATAGTTTTTAATACCTTTGAGTTCGCTGGGAATGACCGGAGCTTCTGTTCTTGAATTTTTTGCCTTGACTAGGTTGGACATTAGCATGGTTATCATTTTCAGAATTATTTTGGACTCTGTGACGATTTTTAAAGGAACTGCCATTAGAAGTTTGCCGGCGAGTAGTTTTACCATGATTATCGTCATCATTTATTGATGGAGTGGGTTCTAAATTATGTCTATGATTCTTCAAACCCGGTGCTGGAGTCTTCAAAATTCTATGTGTAGGAGTTGGTGCAATCTTATTTCTGTGACCGCCCTGAAGTACTTTGGAGTTACTATTTAGGACTTGCGCATATTTTCCAGAAATATACGTTCCTATCACGCTAGTTTCATGTACTGTTGTAAGTCCATCTTTCACTATAGTACCGCCAAGAGTTGTTACTAGACCAAGTGGATGATCATCGTCTTCCGGCTGTGGAGTAGGCGGGTGTACTCTGTTCTTATGTTTTGGTTTTTGTGCATGAGATTTTGAGGGTCTTATATTGATAACTTTGTAGGTCTCTTCAACAAATTCGGAGGGTTGTCGAGATAAGAAATCGTATTCTGGCTCACCGATATTATTATTGGTGATTAAAATCGCCGGTTCTTCTTCCGCTTGGCTGGATTTAATTTGCACTACGCTACTGACTTTGGAATTAATTATTGATGCTGGTGGTGCTTGTTTAACTTCAACTTTGCTACTGACTACATTTGTGATACTTTTTATGGCGTCGGGTTTGTGTTTCTTATCACTAGAATTACTAGGTTTACTAAGTTTACTCGGCTTCGATGGAGATGGTTTCGGAGAACTACTTTCTACAATTTTTGATGGTCCAGCGACAACTTCAACTTTTGTGATAATTTGTTTTTGTTCCTTGATTATAGACTTCGGGACGTTAACAACTTTATCATCGTTTTTGTTCGGAGAAGACACGACAGATATCGCACTTGATATTACTGCTGGCCCAGAAGGCTTCTTGGTCTTAACGTTGTCTGATATTTTGCTTGGTTTAATGGCTTCAGGTTTCACACTTATTACCGATGGAGGTGGTGGCTTAGTTTCTATTATATTCTCTTGAACTGGTTTCTCTGTTTTCGGTGGTTCTGAAGAAAACAGAAATAAAAATCTATTACAATAAAATATCTAACTTATAACTGCAATACTTATTATTTATTATTATAATATATAATTATGGTTTTAATTTTTATACTCATATCTTTAAATGTTCTTGTAGAAATCTTAATAATATTTTAAATATTCACAGTAAAGGTGTCTTGAACCTTTGTTCAAGAAAAAATATTGAAAGAAAAAAATATCTACATTTTATAAATTCAGTCTTCTAGATAGGCTGTATGAGTGGAATAAAAAATATAGAACATTATCTTCATCAACATACACAACAATATATTTGGTACTTCTGTACTTGTTTGTACTTTAAAAGTGCTAAAATTAGAAGTGTGTTAAAATTATGAGGTGCACATAAGCAAAAATAGTCTCTCTCATATAAATGTAAAAAAAAACCCTTTATCCAACTTAGGGCCCGTTTCACAATCGATAAGTTAAGTGCTAAGTACGAGTAATCTACTTCGAACATAAATATGTGTTCAGACTACGCTTTTCTCTTGCACTATATTGTATAGCATGTATAGTAAGCTTATGAAATATAGTATAGCGTTATGTGTACGTGTTCTATGTATGTATGTATGTATGATACGTGATATTCTGCTATGAGTTATAAGCTAAAATGCTGAAATTATAACGTAGCCTGACTGCACCTTTACAATCGAAGTAGCTTTCTCAGAACTAATTTCTTCTAATCAAATATTTAAAGACCAACGATATACCTGGTGGTGGGGCGGAGTGTGGGGAGAACACCATAACGGTGTTCCCTATGGTGGTGGTGAAGTCCAAGAAGCCATACACGGTCTGTGTGAGGAAATTGTTGGCGGGGACGCTGGCTACGGCGGGCTGGCTGCCAGCGTACACCGGCCCTTCGGTGGATACTATGCTACCTGCAAACATAAGAATCAGAACCAATATAATTAATTCTTTAATTGTGAGAGATTGTAGATAAGCTGGACGCATCGAGTGATCTATGTTGAAGTCCAACGTCGAGCTGGGAGGAAACCCGAACTAATGCAGACTATGAAACGACGGAAGGTTGCCTATCTAGGTCACGTTTTTAGGCACTCCAGATACGAGCTTCTTCGTGAGATAATAATTGGCAAGGTCTCCGAGAGATGAGCTGTTAGACGGAGAAAGAAGTCGAGTCTGCGTAATATTCGAGAATGAACCGGAATCACAAGTGTCGCAGAGCGTTTCAATTTCGCCAAAGACCGGGTAAAATATGCGGAGCTGACTGCCAGCCTTCACTAGTTGGAGAGGCACTCGAAGAAGAAGATCTGATCACAGTCGAGAGGATAAAGAGAATTTCATTGACTTTTAGTTCTATGTGCAAATAAAATTTTCTGTGTTTACAAAGCAGTATTTGGTGTTCGTCGTTGTGGTCATTCTCTGTTCTTCATTTTTATAATACGAGTGCGACAAATATTTTGTGTTCAAGTAGGATCAAGCAATGTTAATGACGTTGTCACATATTTATTTCATACTCTCATATTCATGTTTTAAGTACATAATGTACTATATTTTAAAGGCAACTATATTTATTTACTTTTCATCTAAGTATTTCAGAGAAAATGCGAAACTTCATTTTTAAATCGCGTATACTTCTTTTAGCACTTACTGTTATCTCCCAGCTCGATCGAAAACTATGATATACGGGAGTCAAGAACCCCATCTGTTTATTGAGGCCATTACCCTGAAGCTCAATAAGTAAATCTCGTCGGGATTTCGCATAAAACATACATATCTATATATTTCAACATTGACTTCAGATACGACACTTTTATGTAAAGTGCTCGCGGTGAAATGTTCCGATAAAAGACGAAAACTCAGTAACGATGTTACTTCAGTACCATTGGATGGCAAATGATCTGTGATACAGTTGCATAAAAATCTGTCTACTTCTTCCCCTCTTGCGTATAGTAAAACACTTGGTCAAAATGTTTGAATAGGGCCACAGATAAAATAGGTAGGACATAACGGATTTTCCGCTCGAATTGGAGCGCCCGTCTGGGAAAGTAACCCATACCTTACAGAAGATCACAGTAAAATAACAATACCATTTGATGAATTTGTGTTTCTTTCGGTGAGTAAGGTTCTAGGGCTTCACGGGGTAAAGGATTGGGTCAGGGTCACAGGGCAGGCAACGTTGGGTGTGATATTTTTGGCATCGCAAGCATCTGTAGGCTATGGTGACCGCTTACCATCAGGCGGGCCATACGCTTGTTTGCAACATTAAAAAAAATGTTTGTATATTAATGACCGCACTCAGGGACATCAATGAAATGTAATGCTTGTCAAAGTGACGTGTAGTCTTATTCTATTGTTATCGCGAAGAAAGTAAAAATTTTAGTCACTGTCCTTATCATCAGAATTTACAGACACTTTAATGTTTGTTAATTAACATTGAAGTGCTAGATTATTAATTCTAAAGAAAATTTTACTTCTTTAAACTTTAAAGGAAGAATTCCACGCGGTCCAGGCGGCAAATATGAACCCGTTCAGATAGCGGAGGGTGCAGGTTCGAGTAAAACTTTCTTTAGATTTAAACCTCTAGAGTAGTTGAATGCTTTAAAATAAAAATATAATAAACCGTTATATTTTTTAAGTTGGTTTGTATAGTCAGAGGCTATATAAGGCGCGATTGTAGGTCACAAGACTGGAAACGTCAATAAATCGAGCTTTATTAAAGGTACTCGTTCAAAAAGTGTTTTATTATTTTTATTTAATTAATGATTGATTGAAATGTTTATATTACAAGTAGAACGTTTTGTTTTAAAATGTATACATTACTGAATGAATATGTTTTAAGTAAAAATAACAAAACGGTTTTTTTTCTGTTCTTGAGATACTTCTTAAAAGAAGTAACATGATTTTTTTATTTTACAGAAAACCACCACAGTAGTGTAACATTACCTTTGGGTGGTGTTGTGTTTATATCGGTTCTAGTGATTCTAGTGATCCACGGGGTTGTTGGGGGTAGGTTAGCCAGGAGTCCGGCTTTAGCCTTGTTAGGACATGTTTGGCTTTTTGCGGTCGCGTCCGGCCAAATATGTACGTGTTTGGCCTGTCCGGCTTTATGTCAGAGTGGCGATTCGTACGACGATGGGGGGACGAGCGAGCGTCCGACCGGACAAGAGAGCAAACTGCGCGGCGCGTGACGTGAGCGTGACTACCCCGCCCCGCTGTCTGATGTAATAAATATGTCCGGCTTTAAGGGCAAAATGTCAGGCCATATATAGTGCGCAGTCCTTTGCATTTTATGGCCTGGCAACCCTAGTTGGGGGAAAGGTTAGAGTCATAGACATAGTATTTATTTAGGGTAGACAACGCGCGAGTGATATTATTGTACAGAATGGTATCGCAACCTTCAAAGCTTATAATTAGATAAGCCAAACATTAGCTATGCTTGCGGGACATAATTGAGTGTGCTTGTTTGCTGCTCTTTACATAAAAAAACATGTAGCTGACTTTATTATAGACAGTTTTTAGCTTTGAATTGTTAGATCTAAATTATCAAAGGAAAAAATCCCTAGAAAGAGAAAACATTAGCTATATCTTCTAAGGTAACTTTACAAATCATGATTATAATAATCCACGTTCCGTCTCAAAGTAAGAATCGTTAGCTTTTATTCCAATGAATAAATACATGAGTTCAACATTAATAAGAAGTAACGACATGATATATCCAAAAGACACAATGTATAGTTTATTGCGAATACCATGAAAGAAATTTACATTGAATCACGCGGGTGGTACCTAGTGAGCAGTCGAATTGCGTTCAAAGTTCTGCTATAAAACCAATGGCAAAATGGAATTTGCGATGCTCTCTCGAATTGGAAAGTGGGTAACAAATTCAGGGTGGGTCGTGTCGCTATATCCCTGTTACTTCCAGCCCATTTGCCACCAAGTGGTCTGAGATAGTCCACCTTAGATAGTTATCACACCTCGCCCTTTCTTTGACCCTAGTCTTTTTACTGCCAATTACTTTATACGAATAGCATTTTATTCGAAAAGCTATTCAGAGATTCAGGGGTGCGGCCGTTTGCAAAAATTGCTTTTGTTATAAGTAATTTATTAAAAATTAACATTATTACATGAATAAAAAACTATTTGAATCTATGGACTGGAATTAACTTACTTTTTTGTTTCTTAGGCTTTCGCGCACATCACTCATTAAATAAAACTAGTTTTAACGGGTTAATGCACGAAACTTTATAGACTACTAACAGAATAATGTTTCTGACGAAGCAGACCTGAAAAGGCTGCGAAACGTCAATAAATAAATAAAGTTTCGTGCATTAACCTGTTAAAACTAGTTTTATTTAACTTACTTTTTTGCGAAATGGGTGGCAAATAAGTATGTAGCCTATGAGACGCTTGCATTAATTAAGTATCAGAAGCTATTGTTGTTTTGTTTTCTTTAAACTTGGGAGTTTAAACTAATCAGTATATACTTTAAGTCATTGGTGTCGATTCTGGCGTAATTCTCTAAACTTAAAACTAAATTTATGATCAGTCTTTCTTTTTCATTTTGTATAGAGAATGACAAGGATGCGCTGTTGTCAAATTTAAGTTTAGCTTTAGAGAATCATGCCAGAATCGCCATCAGTGTCTCTCTAGAGTAACTTGTCACAGCTTAAGACTAATTTACATATAAGTAAATTTGTATACTAACAAAGTTGGGCGGCGACCGCCAGTAGGGCAACGAGCCGGTGGTCCATGGCTGACGTGTGCGGCATAAACGGTACTGTCAGCAAAAGCGGTGCAGGTGCACTCGCATTTTGTCCGCACGCGTGCTTGTAGGCTTGTAGCTCACCTGGAAACAACAAACAAAACATTGAGTTAATTAAAAGTCTTACGTCATTTGTTTCAAATGTACTTGTAGGACATATCGTGAAGATTGTGGAGAGACATTGATACGATAATAACTGTAAATTGTTTATAACTGTTATCTTTTATTGTTTTCACTTTCTAGGATTTCATGATCTTTTTTTTAAATCATCATATTCTAATGTGTAAAGTAGTAGGAAAAGATGCATACCTACAATAAATCAGTACCTATGTACTTAACTGAAGATGCATATTTTCTAGGTACTACAGATTCATAAAAGCAATCAAATAGCGATAAAAATTAAGCGTATACAGCAGATACTGAACTTTAGGCACGCTCGTTTGCCAACTTCGAGGCTATTATGATTTCAGCTTGTATCGCAGAGCTGAGCTCTTTGAATTATATTTGCATAGCGTTTGCACGCCGCCGATCGATCAGCTAATTTCGCCGCTTCGAATGTCAAACCAAATTTCAGCGTTTTATCAATACAGTGTAGAACGAACGAGCGAGATGAATATAACACCATTAATGTTAATATCTACTATCAAATGATAATGCAATGAGGCTGTGCACCGTTCGTAACGCATCGGTAAACAAAATAATTACTAGATAATATGCGAAATGGCGAGCCGCGTACCCATTTGGGCGGGCGGGCGGCGGTCGACCCATTTCGTTGCCCAAAACCAATACAGATTTTAACATAAACATGTTTGCCAGATTGCTTGTTCCCTTCGTGAATTGTATCGTTCTATGTTGTTAGGTGGGTATATACATTTATAAGCGACACTGTTTAATTTTATTGGACGGAGTAATGTTTAAATATGGGGTGGGAAAAGATTTCATTGCGTTCGGTTGAAATTGGGTTCGCGTTGCTGAATTGAATGCAACACGTACGCTGGGCGGTGACTCGCATACTGAACAGTTAAATACTATTTCCTCCCAATCTGTTTATCATCACTATGTTTTGGCTGTATTCCCGTTTTCAATAATAATATAGGGCGTTTGATATTGCGGTTACCCATCTATGAATGTTTTCGCAAAAGTTTATATTTGTCTTTTCCATTACAGTATTCCATTTATTTTCTTGACCTTTAAACGGCAAATGTTTTCTTTTTAAAGTATAATTTGACTAGTCACATAATGTGGCAAAATTACCTACTCGTATGAAGTAAACGATGTTACTTAAAGTGGAAAGTTTGGACGTTACAAAGTACATAACTGTTTTTTTGAATCATAATTACAATATACCTTAATGTGGGTTACCTAATATTGAATATAACAACTGATTATATTTTTTGTTAATTTACTTTATATGAGAACAAAAACAAATTAAAACCAATAGTGGAAAAATCTAGTAAGAATCATTGATGTTTTGAGGCACACTTGAAAAACTTTATATAATAACTAGCTGACCCAGCGAACTTCGTACCGCCCTAAAAAATAGGGGTTGTCCAGCGGACAAAATTGTGAATCTAAACCATTCTCAGATCCCCTTGAACACACACAAAAAATTTCATCAAAATCGGTCCAGTCGTTTAAGAGAAGTTCAGTGACATACACACTCACAGAAGAATTATATATATAAAGATAGGTTATATTTAAGTTTGATAACTTGTGAAAATTTTAAGTACCGCAAAGTTCGAACTATTTATGATAAACTTGAAGATGTTAGTGCTACCTAAATACTTCCCTGTTAAATTGTATTTATTATTAAAATATAATAAATAATAAATCAAAATTCAGGTGAACAATTAATGTATAATTTCACATTATGCAATGAAAGGTGACTTCATGAATCATCTCTGAATCATTTTACAACTTGACGACTCTGTAAATGTAAAACAGGGAGAAAAAAGCAGCCCTTGCTGAGTTTCTAGCCGGTTCTTCTCAGTACAAGGTCTCCCGCCGTAGATTTACGAACCGATGGCGTAGCTTCTAGACATTCATATGTGCCTAACAGCCTAAACTGAGTAAATGATTTTGATTCCATAATGACTTGAATAAATATATTATAACTTTAATCGCAGTCTAAATGGTTTGCATAGTAAACTGACACGGTAATATATCTGAGATACCTTCAGACTTTATCATTTAAAGGTGGGTGTACGGTATAGACTACGGCTAAATACTTTTGTCTATATTTTGTAACAGAAAATAGAACGTTCACGGATTTTATATTTACTTAAACCACACTTCGAACAAGAAGGTCGATATTTTGTTAAAAACTAATTTTGGAACCCAAGCTCGTTGCTTTTGCGTTTCTTGTAACATTTTATCGAGAAATAGTTCGAACGCGGGTGATTAGAGACTGGGATAAATGAAGCAGGTCGGCTTTAAAGAGTGGACCTAAAGAAGAATGAAATGTTACACGTAAATTCTCAATCACTGTAAGCATTACGTCGAACACAACCTCTAGCATACGCGATGTATTAGTAAATGCTCTAGTCTGCACTCAGCTTAATACACGGCACCAAAATAATTTCATGAGCGTATCGAACACCGGCATTATTAGTTATAGTAGAAAAGCAATCAGTAGAGTAACTAATAGGCACGTTATTCATTAAATCCTAGAAAATAGAGGTTCGAAATTGGATTTACCAGGAGATACTTATTTTTTACTTTTAACACCTAAGTATTATTGAATAAAGTTGCATGTTGAAAATCGCATCAAGTATCATTTGAAAGGAGAAAGACCTCATTGCCATGACCATATTATCAAAGTCGCTGTATGATATACAAATCTCCTTCTCATATCAACAACGCCAAATTGTTTGGCATTGGTTGGTCTTAATATAATGTCAAGAAACAATGAATACAGGTTATCAGCATCAAAACATTTCCCTTAGTGATTATTCCTTAAATTTCTTTCGTTTCCAGTTGATTTCATACTTGACGTAGATATGTCATCACTTATACCAAAGATAAGATAATAATCGTTAGATATGTCCTGACACCGAAAACCTGTGGCCATAGTTTGCAATGACGTTATGATGATAGCGGTGATAGTGAAGTGAAAGTCAATTTTTTATCGCAAAAATAAAGTAATGCTATTAAATGCGAGTCTCATCTACGAGTAGATATTTGTTTTTTGGTATTTTAACCAACATTGCAAACAGAAGCTGATCAATCGGATTGGATTGAAGGAATGAAATGAAAAATATAAATGTCTACATAAGCTCAGCGATCCTATATGCGGCGATCGTTTTGATTTATTTAGTATACATTGCAATTATATTATAACTGGCTGACCCGGCGAACTACGTACCGCCTTTATAAGAGTCGATAAATGTGGCTATCTTTAATATCTAGCTTAATGAAATTTAGGACTTTACAAGCGAAATAAAACAAACAAAAAAGTTCAATAGTTTACTCGGATAATCTACACATAAAACAAATTCGTGTTAGTTAGAACACTTAGAACTCAAGAATGGCTGAACCGATTTTTATCAGAATTATGTTTTTTTTGCTATCCTCACCGCCACGAATAGTAGAATAACTATTTATATATATGAAAAATCTTACCTTACCTAACTTAGGTATGGTAAAAGGATAGGCTTAAATTAGGTATGGTATTCTGCCTTCTTCCACAATTGACAGCTCACGTCACAAAAGCACAAAGCTTATTTGTACCTTCTGCAAATCTGTTACTACAAAATAGATAGAATATAATCGCTTTAAAGTGTTATTATAATTTAAAGAAAATACTGGAATCATAAGACAAGTTGCAATACTAGCCGATATTTTGGTAAGCAAACGATGGATATAACTTCAACACTAAACTGTAGTATCAATAACTCAGTTTTCATTTCATTATAACATAAATCTTACTCCATTTGGTTTAATTTTCAAAAGATATTCCTAATTTCCCAAGAAGTCGTATGGTACTGAGAGATTAAGGGATGTCTGTGTTTGGAGAATAGTTATTGGGAAAATACATGGCAACCCTGGCAAACAATAAACCCTTCTTTTAAATTTCGCTGATACACTTAAAGTAAAAGTTATTGAAATTTCATTTTCTCTATGTATCCCTATAAACTATTTAACTTTTTTGTATTTGTTTTATTGCGGCTGCAAAATCATTAATTTAATAATAATATTTTTTTATTTTTATCAATATACTAGAGTGGGCTGGATGACAGTGGCAGAAAATCGGGAACAGTGGCGTGCATTAGGGGAGACCTATGTCCAGCAGTGGACGAGCATGGGTTGATGATGAAATTAATATAACCACATTCATCGACTTTTGGGCGGTACGAAGTTCGCCAGGTCAGCTAGTTAGATATAAAGAAAAGATAGAGAGAGATATCATAATGAAATGCTTTAAACGTGTAATTTTTACCGGAAGCCGTAAATACAATTATGGATAATATATTATATTAACTAAATATAATAATAAATAATATAATATAGTTTTGTAAAATTTTAATGCTTTGCCCTAAGATTACCGATTCGATAAATTTTAGGACTAACTGCTCGTCACTAAAATGATACACTACTAAGCATATTCGAGTGCTGTCAGGTTTCAGAGCGGTCAAACTATGGTAAGGGCATATCTAACGATTGAAATCTTTGACTTATACTAAACCTAATATTAAACGTAACATTAATATTAAACGTCCTATTAAAAAGGATTTGTACTGTCCGAGTTCGCACACCATTAGTATAGTAACCCAAGATAGACGTAAAGGCATCCAAGCCAAATTCCTCTGTAGATTGGCATGTATTGTGCGAGGTCCGGTCCACATAGCGCGCCGTACTGAAAGCATTTCAATGCTAGCTGAGCTCACAAAGCCATTGCTGTACATTTACGCTGAGCTCTAAGACAATTGCATGATATCCAAATGACTGATGTGGGGTGTTGATAGTCGAAACGTTCCTATGCTGACGGACTGCAAACCTTTGTTACTGGTTATCTATCTAAGGTAATAGGTGTGGTATTTGTTTTGTCAGGAATGACGGTAGATGTCAAGGAAGGTGTTGATAAC